TCCATTGTAAAAATCGCAACGCACTACCGAGTTGTACCAACTTAAGCAGCTGCTGTAAACAAACTGGTGCACAGATCTCTCTCATATATGGCAAAGTAATTAAGGACGGTCCTACCAACTTAGCGAAATACAAACACGACGAATTTAAATTCCGGGTACTATTTTCATGATGGTACTGTTTTCACGATGTCACAACAAATTAGAAGCGATATTATTTTAAATTTATTTTTGAAGGATTAACTATTAAATTTACTAAAATAGGGCTAAAACTTGTGTTTACTACGTAATTTAGAGATATAAAACTTTTTCCTACTGACTAAATGTCTGAAGAAGCATGCATTTTTATTTCAATCGAAGAGCGTAAGCTTGCTGTTATGCTTATACCCATATAAACCGTAAGCATAGATAAAGTGACAGTTACTATTGGATTAAGTACTTGTTTCCACCTCTGCTGCGCTTTGAAATAATGTTAAAAAGCTAATAATTGCAACATAATGAAAATATGAACACTTCCAAAGCGTTTTCGACACTAAACAAACGGTATAATGCCATGAAGTGTTTGGTAAATGATTATAGGACTCATTTAAATATTTTTTAAATTTAATTAACAACACTACTCATAAAAATATTATACAGAAACTATATAGAAAGAGAATAGCAATCATTAGCAAATACTTAACAAAAGTAGACAAAACAAGAAAAACGAGAGAAACCAGAAAATTAACGCACTAAAAGTTCGTATTATGCTAGGCAAACAAATGGCAAATAAAAGTCGACGCAAATGTTCGCTAATCAAAAACACAGCAAACTAAGTCGTAAGTAAGACCAAAAATGCCAAACTCAAACAACAAACTAGTTTTGATTTTGCTACAAATTGCTTACAGTTTTCAAGCCTTACCTCTAAGTTAGTGTTTAAAAATTGTTTGTTCTATGGGTACGATTACGATTACGATTACGTGAACGGTTACGTTTTGTTTACGTTAACGTTTAAGTTGTACGGTTTTGTTTGTTACTGTACACTTTTCAACTTTTCATTCTACACGTGTGTTTGTTTACAATTTTTTTTTTTTTTTTTTTTTTTTTTTTTTTTTTTTTTTTTTTTTTTTTTTTTTTTTTGACTTGGTGGTTGTGACTTATTGGACTAAAAGTGGAGGAACCCTAAATTGAAAGAACACATATTTAAATACAAAATACATTAAAATCGTCACTATAAATTATTCAATATTTATATATGTACTATATATATTGCGTAAAAGTACAACAAATATTCATATTCAAATAGCAATACAAAACACAAAAACAGAAAGGTTTGAAGATTTACATATATTTAGTTACAGTTAATGAGAGAATGTAATGAAATGAAGTGACCTATTGATCTTGGCTGTCAAGTTACAAATAAATAGCCAACTTAATATGGCATGGCAATTGCGCGCTTGCTGGGTACTTAGCGGGTCACATGAGGTATAGGGAACTTTTCGTCCACAGTAAGGCTAGCCTTTGCCAAGCGGTAATTAAGGCTATTAATATCGCCAATACAAAGTCTTACTTCGTTAAGTTATGCAAGCAAACAATAATTAAGTTGTGTTAGGTTAATCTGTTTGGCTGATAAGCCATGCATAGACCAGTATTGCTCACTTGCGATACCAGGTGGAGTTCAGTTGCTAGGTGCATGAGGGGTAGTCATCTTTTAGGATGCCTGCGCTTGACGCGAGTTTTGACAGACCCGAGCGAGCACACTGTCGATAACTCCTGCAGTGTATCATACCGTGGTAATCCTTCCAATGCTGGACAAGTGCACAATGGAGCATCTATTGTTACTCGGATGCTATGTTCTAGACATTTTCTGCAGTAATCTCGATTTGAGACAGTAATTGAACACTCCATATAGGAGTCAGTTGGAAACACAATTCTCCTAAGCTGTCTCAGACTATTCAGCTTCATAAACGATAGTACTGAAGCCTAGAGGAACACCTCAATACTTGGAACCATTGCAATACAGGACATACCACAAAGTTGTTTTGGGAGAGTCGTGATGGTAAACAGACTAAAACACTTCTACATCTAAGCAAATGGGAACTTAGTAATATTGTAGGGCTTATCGCGGGGCACCTACTCTTAAGATATCACCTCCAGAATATGATAAAAGTGGGTATAGGTTCGGGGTACTGCCTTCATGCGCTTCTCAGGCTAGCTTTTTTTTTTTTTTTTTTGTTTGTTAGAAGTGACAGAAGGAACACTTCAGCACTCCTTTCTTTACGGTACAGCAGTTGTGAGGTCAAGGTTAAAACTGGTGAAGATTGAAGTAAAAAGTTTAAGCATGTTTGTATTAACCTCAAAACGTTGTGCTCTCCGGGGTCACATGAGTC